GGGCTGGAAGAGATGACTTTAAGTTTTGCTTTCATAGCTTTTATTGAGCTTTATTCCTGGAGTTTCAGATGTCAACTAGAAATATCCTGTAGCAAAAATGTATTGCCTGTCTCCTGTGTGCCCAGCATTCTTCTGGGTACTGGAGGTACTGCAGAGATAAGCAGGCAAGTCTCCGCCCTCCTGCGCAGGTAAACGCATATGCATATGTATGTGTATATAGTATATGCCAGTGGAGGAGTGTGTGGTTTTTTCTGATACCAAATATATTTTGTTTTTCCATACCGATTCTGCAATTCCTTGACACGTAACTCCCAGAGACCCCACAAGTTAAGGTCTCAGTCCCACAAGGCTGCCCCCACTTCAGATGCCAGCTACAGATGGGGTTCCCAGGCTACCCCCACTTCTGTCCACCTGACTACAAATTTAAGGTGTATAATTTGCTAAAACAAAACAATGGAATTCTGAGAAGTGCTTTACTTATGATGACCGATTTATTGTAAAGGTTACAACTTGGGAAGAGACACATGGGACAAGGTATGAGGTAGGGGGTGGCATGGGGCACCATACCCTCCTGACACATGTGTTCATCAACCCAGAAGCTACTGGGGTTTTATGGAGGTTCCACTACATAGGTGTGGTTGATGAACTCATTGGCTGTTGGTGATTGAGCTCAGTCTCCAGCCCTCGAATCAGATGCTTGGGCTTGCCTGGCCAGTGTGTGGCTCCGTTGGTTGAGCATCATCCCATGCACTGAAAGGTTGCTAATTCGATTCCTGGTCAGGGCACATGCCCGGGTTACAGGTTTGATCCCCGGTCCGATTGCACTTGGGAGGCAACCTGTCAGTGTTTCTCTCTCTAAAATCAATTTTTTAAAAATTTACAAATGCTTGGGCCTTCTGGTGACCAGTCTTCATGCTGGAGAGGTCCCACCTTGAGGCATCTCATTAGCAGAAACTCTGGTGTGGTGGAAAGGGGCTTTTGTGAGTAACAAAAGACACCAATGTCCTAGCCATTTTGGCTCAGCGGTTAGAGCATCGACCTGTGGACCAGAGAGTCCCGGGTTCGGTTCCCGCTAGGGGCACGTACCTTGGTTGCAGTTTGTGTCCGGCCCCGGGTGGGGTCATGTGGGTGGCAGCCACTCGATGTCTCTCACATCGATGTTTTTCTCTCTCTCTCTCTCTCCCTCCTACTCTATCTGAAGATAAATGCAAAAATGTCCTCGGGTGAGGATTTAAAAACAGACACCCTTGTCTACTTAGAAAAGTTCAAGGATTTTAGGAGCTCTTGTGCCAGGTCCTAGCTAGGGTCAGAGATCAAGTGGGTATTTTTATTGTACTGCGGGGAGATGGAAAACAGATGAACACTTGGAGTGTTGGTTGCTATGAGGAAAACTGAACCTGGGGAAGGGTGTGTGGGAGACGGGTGCTGGTGTACATACAGCCTCAGGAAGTGGCATTTTAGCACAGACCTTAATGATACGAGGCAGGAGCCACACGAATGTCTTGGGAGGAGAACATTCTAGGCAAAGGGAGCAGAGCACCCAAAGCACCTGAGGCGGGAGAATGCCCAGTGAGTTCATAGTTCTGACGGGAAGTCATGGGGCTGGAAGGAGTTGGCAAGGGTGGGCGATGTGGCGGGAAGCCACAGGCGGTGTAAGTTAGGGAGCTGCCGGGTCTGAGCAAGTTTGGCACCGCTCTCCTGTGAGCCTGTGTGGAGACAGTGGGGTCCTCTTGAATTCTTCCTCCATGTCTTGTTACTGAGTTTAGGTAATGAGTTCCCATACTCTGATTTTCGTCTTTTCTTTTTCCTTTTTTTTTCGTGGTGGCAGAAACCCCCTTGAGAATCCAAAAGCTAAAGAAGTCACTTCACTACAAAAATGTACACAAATATGCATACACATTTGTATATAATTTCCTGAATTTTATGGATTCATGATTTATTTAGTACTTTTTTTGGGAAAATCACTTAAGCTCTGAGTTTCAGCTGCAGAATGAAATGGGACACGTGAAGCACGTACTTCGCTGCGTGGTCGGCTGAAACAGGCCGGTCGTGTCCGTGTTCCTGCTCCTTCGGAGCTCGCCGTGGACCTCCTCCTAGATGTCTCCCTGGTGCCTCCCCCTCGCACTCCACACCTGCCGAACCAACGCTGCTTTCGTTCTTACGTCGTCGTGTGTGCAAATTTTGAATGTGCTTATCTCCACAACCCCCATTCCTTGTAATCCTCAGGGAATCTTACCTAACAGTAAATAGGTGATTGGTAATAATGATGAAATACTCTTACAAGTGGGTTCTTCCTTTGGAACTGCAGATAGAGGCCTTGATCCGATGCACATTGGCTTACAGTACATGAGGGATATGCTCAAAAATGGGTGTTCTCAGTACTCCCCTTAGTCCTGAGAAGAGGACTACCTCATTTGAGAGCATGGTATAAATTCAGAAATCCAGTTTTTATTTTCTGATTCTATTTCTCTCCCCCACCTCCACCCTTTTTTTTGCCTGAATAGCTTGCAGCCTCGTCATCTTTGGAGGCTGCCACAGAAACAACCCAGAACAACCCAGAGGAGAAAATCACAGAAACTGTAGGTGAGGAGCCAGAATCTGTCATTGAGAAGGAAAAGGGAGAGAACAGTCCCTGCGATGCCAGCTCAGAGATGCAACAGATCCTTGCCCGGGTTCGGCAGAACTTCGGCAAAATCAACGTCGTGCCTGCGTTTTCTGGGGACGACCTGGTTCCTTTAGAGATGTCAGATATCGACGAAGAGCTTGTGAGCTCTTCTGCAGAGGAGGAGGAGGAGGAGGGACAGGAGCAACAAGGAGGCGACGATGAAGAGTATTACCCAGAGTCCCAGGAAGAACACGTGGAAAACGACACCAAGGCAGTGATTAAAGCCCTGGATGAAAAGATAGCTAAATATCAGAAGTTTTTAAACAAAGCCAAAGCGAAAAAGTTTTCAGCGGTCAGGTATTGTTTTCATCTCTTCACGAATTGCATTTTACTGCTTTCTTTCCAAGAAACTTGCTATGAGGAACTGAAGTGATGTAGTTACGGGATTGGGGTGGATTAGGGGGTATTGCCCACATTTTTTTTAAAAAATATTTTTTCTTCATTGATTTTAGAAAGGAAAGGAAAGGCAGAGAAAGAGAAACATTGATGAGAGAGAACATCGATTGACTACCTCCTGCGTGCCCCCCACTGGGGATATGGGCCCACAACGTGGGCATGTGCCCTGACTGGGAATCAAACCTGCGACCTGCGTGCATGGGTCGATGCTCAACCACTGAGCCACACTGACTGGGTTTGCCCCCATTTTTAAAAAGTGATGTTATATTTTTAAAGTTCAGCCCCCTAACATATGAGAAGCTGGTTGTCTTTTAGAAATGCCCGGGAGCTGCAGAACTGCTGGCGTTGCCGTCTGCCAGTGGCGGTGCGTGTGAAGACGAGTGGGTTGTCCTGAATCCGCGAGGCCGTCACAAGTCAGCATGTGACTTGAGCAGTGGAGGGGAATGTCTGACAGTTTCATTAGTTTGCTTTTCTGTTTCAGAATATCCAAGGGACTAAGTGAAAAGGTTTTTGCAAAATCTGAAGAACAGAAAACAACAGCTGAAGATGTGGAAGATACAGGTAGAGTTTATGTATCAAATCATTTATATGTGATTGCATCTTTAGGAAATCTAAGTTAAATTTCCAAATTATCTTTTGTACCATCATTATCCCCATAGTTATTTACATCTGGCAGGTTACCTTGGCTACACAATCTACAATACAAATTGGATTATCTGCTTTTTAGTCTTCGTGTTTCTTAGAATTAAATTGGTAATTCAGGAAAGTTACTCTTCAAAAGGGTACATTATTAACCTTATGATTTAAGGGTGGGTCTGCAGTCAGGTTTTTTTTCCCCTCCGTGGGCAGGGTGGTTCATGCATTTATTTTTCACTCCCTTGGACTAACAGCTTCTCAGTCTAGAGTGTGTTTTCATGACAGTTCGTGCCCTGACATGGCCCGTGCGTCCCTGCTGGCCTGGCGCCCTTCCAGTCTTATCCTGCTCTACTCTGCGCTGGGCTCACTGCACTCCACTCACTCTGGCCTCTTCCTTCTTCCAACACATCAAGCTCATTTCCACCTTAGGATTCACAGACACTTGTTGAATAGAAAATTCCTGTTTCTTTTGTGTGTGTGTTCAATGTTTCTAGCACCTGCCAAAAAGGGAAAGAAGAGGAAGGCACAGAGGGAAGAGGAGCATTCAGACAAAACTCGCAAGACACTTACGTCTAAGGAAGTACGTGTTTTTGTTTTAAGTATCTTCCAGGTCTAGAAAGTAGAGAGGAGAATCGCAGTTCTTAAGCTGCACTTTTTCTGAAACTAGTGGTCTAGAGTTGAGTTTAAGGAACCCCAGTCCTAAGTGACCTAGTTGAGGGCAGGTAAATAGGATCAAGAGTTGGACCAATGATTGAAGGTCTTGAGTTCATGTCTTATGGTTAGAGTTTCTGATTGCTGTCCTCAGATGTAGCCTGTCATCTGGAAGCATCTGTTGGTTTTATGTGGCCCCAGGGAAATGACACATGGTGAGTGGAGCTGTTATTAGGCAGATCACTGCCCCTGTGAAGTTAGCTGTGTAACTGGACTCTTCAGAGCTGGAGCGGGCCCTCTTGGCAGGTGGAGAGCTTGTTGTGAACCCTCCCTCGCTAGCACTGCCTGCTTCCATGGTTGTGGAGGAAGCATGGGAACGGAGCACAGAGAAACAGGCCTGTTTGGTGGTTTTCTGTGTCTGAATGGTTTGCCTTGTTTTGCCATTTTTTACAGCGGAGGCGGGCAGCACGGAAGCAACAATCCAGAAAAGTTGGTGTCCGCTACTACGAAACACACAACGTGAAAAATAGGAACAGGAACAGAAAGAAGACCGATGACTCAGAGGGACAGAAACACAGACACAAAAAATTCAAGCATAAGCAGTGACAGTTTAAAAGCTGTTTATTAAATTATACAAAACTATGCTGTTAGAAACTGTTTATTTTCTTCATGCCCGGTTGGCATTTTTAAAGCCACAGTGCATTCGTTCTGAGGTTTGACAGGCGACACCATTTACCAGTGCCAGTGAAAATAGAACGTCCCCTGCCGCATGGATTTCAGCGATGGAGTCCATTGGCACTTCCGACACGAGTCAGCCCTCTCGGTTCCTCCAGGGTGAAACTGTCACGTAAATGTCTGACAGAAACAAGGATGAGCTCTATGAAATGGGACGTGTGGTATTTCATTTGTACTGGCAATTAGTAATTTGGAACAGAAGCTGTTCGGAATAGAAGAATATAAAACAAAATTTCAAGGATGTAGTGTACATGGCCTAGGCTTTAAAATGTGAAGAAAAGCTACAGCAATTTCTGTGGTCCCTCATTCGTCTGGCAGGTGCCAGTTGGGACACGCACTCTACTGTCAGGAGTCGCAGCACGTAATCTCGGTGACCCGCATTCTTGCACATGAAAACGACAGAGCACAGACAGGTCATAGGGGGTCTCAGAACTCCTCAGGGCCCCAGACAAGGGTAGGAGCTGCCACTTCAAATTGGAGTAGTGACGGGTGCATTTGACTCGGCAGACGCAGCTCTTGTCTGGCGGACTGGAGTTCTCCAGGGAGCCTTGAAGCCCTAACCAGGACGGGTGGCAGGTCAGGGCGCCACTGCAGAGCCGTCTTCACCTCTCCGGGGGAGTGCAGAGCACGTGAGACTTGCCAGCTGAGGGAGTGTTAGTGAAGTCACTCAGCTTGCTGCCCAGCCGCACCCAGGGCTGCCCTGAACTAAAGGTGTTTGTAGTCTCCGTGTAGTCTGGGCCTACGAGACCAGAAGGGTCCTGAGCCTCCAGACTCGGAGCTGAACTTAGGAACAGTAAAATGCAGCTGCCTGCAGGCCATAACCTGGTCATTAATAATTCGAACTGCATGTAGGGTTTGGGCACCTCTCCTGTTGTTCATTAAACTGAGCTAGTTAGAGGGGGTGTAGGACCAGGTTTAATTTTCTGTAGAAGAAAGGGAACAATTGGTGTTGGGGTGGAAATGAGATGCAAGCAGCTCACAGTGGACACTGATGTGTAGTTCTTGCCAGAAAACATTTACTTTCTTACAAGCCATGGGTTTGACTCTGCCACCACCTGCTCACCTAGGCAGTCTGACACTGAGGAGGAAGGGTCCAGGTGACTTGCCGGCGGGGATCAGACAGCACAAACCCCATACTCTAAATTGAGCTACTAGGACTCTGTTGGAGCAGGGATGATGGAAAGACATCAAATAAGGGAGAGATGGGCCAGAGGAGCCCATGTTAAGGGACAAGACGAATTGTGGACCAGAAATGTGGGGACAGAAGCAGCTTCACTCGGCAAGTACAGTGATGGGAGCACTTTCTTCACCCAAGGGACACAGTAGAAAGGGGTGGATTCTAAGTCTTACTATTTGAGTCGGCACATCCCAAGGCCGGCCATATACTGAAACTGGGCTACATCACCTTCCATTGCCCAGCCAGGAGCCTGGCTGCCAGACTTAGGTGTTTCATGACACTGGGCCAATGGTGTGACTTCTGACAAATGTGTTGGTGGTGATCAGGGGCGGGTATGGCTTGTTCGTTCAGGAAACTAGCTTTTTATTAAAAAGGGCTTACGATGGGGGAGTAGTGCTTGTGCGACCCATATGGAAATTATCACTTCTTTGGTGCAATAATGCCTTCCAGTTGGGCCTGAAAAACAAAAACAAACTCCATTAATATTTGAAACTTGCAGTCTAACATAAATAACCAAGAGGTGAGAAAAGTCTCTGGGAAGGATGATCCCAATGCTGCCACTCCAAGCATTTTTTCCCCTTCGTTCCCAACTCCATATTTTCTAGATTAGCTGGTTTCTGGCTTGGCGTAGTCTTGCTGCGTTAGGAGAAACCAGAGCTGTCCTGGTTTCCATACAGTAATGGCTCAGTGCATAATATAAAGCATTGAAAAGGAAATTGAATAAAAGTTGTTGAAATAGTGGTTTTTCATGGCTCAGATTTCAGGCCTAAATATGTCTGCTATGTTAAACTTCGGGATCCTGGGAGCTGTGTGTTGGGACAAGAGGTTTGGGAAAACAGCAAATTTTCAGCCACTGAGACAATTGACACCCAATTAGAGAAAACTGCTACCAGTGAGTAGCGCGCTGTCAGTCTTACATGTAAAGCCGAAGACACTTGGGAGTCATTTGCTGTTTCTTTGGCAGCCAGAAACATAATTTACTATCATGGTGCATGGACAGATCTCTAAGTAGGTCTATCCTGGGGACTGCAAACACTGCTTTACTTGCAGTGTGGTTTTGAGCCAATAAAAATAACTCACTTCTAAGGAGTACTTCACCTTGGGGATTACAAGGTCGCTTGCAAATGTTAGATGCCAAGCTCTTCTGCTTTGCTCTTGCCGCCAGTACTCCAGGAGGAACCGAGGAACTTGGGCTTATGATAAAGGAGTGTGGCAGATAAGGGAGGCAGCTTCGGAGGCTGCTAAGTAAACGTGCACCTCTGCTGGTGAACTTTCTAGCTTTTCGTTTTTGTTAAACTCCGCAACAAGAAAATCTATGTTATCCTGCACTGGCTGTTAACACAAGCCCTTCTTTATCTCAAGTGCCTGCCTATCTTGTTTTGCAGTGCCAACAAGCCTGCCAGCCTCAAGAATGTCAGCTTTCTATGAGACTAGGGAGGAGAGAAGAAAAATTCAGGGACCACTTCTGTTCTGGCCAGGGCCTTGGGAGACAGCCACTTGGGAGTCAGGAGGCCATACAGCCAGAACAGTGGTTGTCAAATGTTAGCATCAGAATCACCTGGAGACCTTGTTGGAACAGAATGTTGGACCCCAACCCCAAAGTTCCCGATCCAGGAGATCTGGGGTGGGCCCAATCATCTGTATTCCTAACAGTTGCCAGGTGATAAGGATGATGCTTGTCTGGAACCCAACCCGAGGACATGCTTATTGATTTTAGACAGAGGGGCAGGGAGAGAGAGAAACATCAATTAGTTGCCTCCCATACATGCCCCGACCAGGGACCAAACCCACAACTTTTCGGTGTGCAGACGACACTCCAACCAACTGAGCACACCAACCAGCGCTGGAACCCAACCTCTGAGAGCCTTTGGACCAGACAACCTGGAGTTTCAGAGGCCTGGCCCCTGCCCACCCCTCTTCTTACCTAGCCCTGCTCCCCTTCCCTTCAGCTCAGCTGGATAAAAGTATATATCCGCAAGAGTGCTTTGAGGGAAAACAGGTACACCGAGTTTCTCTGACCACACACCTGGGGAAGGTTTCTGATTTGAAATGGTTCTTCCCTCTCAAAGGGCCTTCCCGGCCCACCCCAAATGCAGGGCCTCGGAGGGGACTGAGTGCAGGCTCAGATGACCAGCACCCATGGGAAAGAAGTTCCATTTTTTGCCATATCCTCCTCTCCAGAAGATGGGCAACCTTCATCCGAGAGGGGAAAACCTCCGCTGGAGAGCCAAGCTGGGGGGCATGGGGATTCAGAGTTGTGATTAGAGCCTCCTCCAGAACCGGATGGATGGAGAATCTGGGTAATGACTCTCATCCTCCCCACCCCAAGTCAGCTTCCGTTACTCCTGGGCAGCACATGTGGACAAGTATTTAACACCATCCATAGGAAAAGGAACCGAATGCCTGGCCTGCGCGACAGGGAGGGCAGGTGGGCGAGCACCTCCACCTGGGCCTGCGCGACCATTACCTTCAGCTGCTGGTTCGTCCGCTTGAGGAACTGAATCTCCTCATTGTGCTTCTTCTCCTCCACCTGTCTCCTCTCACTCTCCCTCTTCTCCGTGGCCTCACACTTTGCCTTCTGCTCGTTCACTTGCCTCTCCAAGTCTCTCTTTTCCGTTTCTAATTCTGCAATCTAAGGACAGAACCCCCAGTCATCCTGGGACATTGCCAAGGGGGGCGGGGGGGGGGGGGACTTGAGTGCCTGGGTGGAGGGGACCTGCAACACAGCTGTCCAACCCAAGACATTGCCAGGGTCTGTACTGCCACCCTGTGGGAGGTCAGTGCCTGGCATGGCACGTCCAAGAGGAGACAACCCTGCCATGACCAGGCTGGCCCTTACACTCTGAACCAAGGGTCCTCACTGAGGTGATGGAAAGCACCCTAGGAGGCCAGAAGTTAGTGCCAGAATGACAACCACGTGGCCCCGAGACAGAAGAGTGATAGGGCCAAGGCTCGTGTAAACCCCACTCACTTTCCTCTCCATGTCTGACTTCCCCTGCTCAGCCTGCAGCGCCTTTCTCATGCCAAACGCCACGCTGCTCTCATACAAGGTCTGGTAGGCAGCGATGGTCATGCGGATCTCGTCTCGGACTCGCAGCAGCAGCAGCCCCCTCTCCGCACAGTTGATGGTGACCTCACGAATCAGCTCATCTTCCAATGCACACATCGAGGTCAGAGAAGGCAGGCAGGAGGGGAAATGCACCGTTTCTATTGCAAACCACCCTTCCTACTGGGAAGGGTGCTAAGGTGTGTCCTCCTCACTTGGAGACAGATCTCAGCAAGGGGCCTTCAGTGGTCCCAGGAACCTTGCCATGAAGCCACTGCTCTGAACTTGGCACTTGGGAGGATAGGCAAGCCCAGGGCAGAGGGAGACACGCCCCAGGTTTGTCTGCAGCATGAGGCCCCTCTCTTCCAGCCTCAGCCAAGACCTGGGTACTATTAAAAGAAATGCGACTTTTCAACTTGAAGATGGTGGGTGCTTTAAAGCAGCTGGGAAACCCTACGTGTCTCCTTGGCTGGACTGGTTTGGGGCTGGAAACAGCATCGTTTAGAGCTGGCCCACCCATCCCCTCCATGAATGCTGGCCTGGAGGGCCAACCATAATCACACTCAGTGCGCAGGGAGCCCGTGGCCCCTGCGGCTGCCTCAGGGTTTGGAGGTGGTTTGCGTGTCTGAGTCCACATGGGCCAGTGACATTGGGCTGGAGGACAGCCACTTCACACTGGCACTTGAGGAGGCAGAGCTTAAATCCCCGTGTCTGTCAGTGAACTACAAATTACTCTGAAATGTTTTCTGGACCAAGGGCCAGATACTGATGGATGGATATAAATATAAAACATTAATTTTTCTGATTTAAAAATTAACACACGCTTGCCCTGGCCGGTTTGGCTCAGTGCTTAGAGCATCTGCCCTCGGACCAAAGGGTCTCGGGTTTGATCCCGGTCAAGGGCACGTACCTGGGTTGCAGGTTCGATCCCCAGCCCAGGTTGGGGTCATGCAGGAGGCAACCAAGCGATGTGTATCTCTCACATCAATGTTTCTCTCTCTCTCCCTTTCACTCTATCTAAAAATCAATGGAAAAATATCCTCAGGTGAGGATTAACAAAAATTAACACATGCTTATTATAGAAATCTTTGAAAAAACAAATATTTAAAATGGAAGTTCTCATTTACTCCAAACATCTGCTAAGAGATGAGGAACAGGTTGTCAGATTGACTGGTAAGTGGAGGCACTGGTGGGAGAGGTGGGGCTGGGGGGAGAGAGTGCGTTTAGCAGATGCTGCATGAGACAGGTAGAGGGCACAGGTGACTCCAGGACAGGGTGGGCTCCAGCTCAGGGATACTCAGAGCTCGGGGCTGTGCTGAAGGGGAAGGGAAAGAGGCAGTAGAGTACAGTGCACCCTCCCCCACTCCCCAGGCCACTCACCAAAACACTGTGAGTAGAGCTCCCTGCGGACAGGGCAGATGCCAGTCTCCCTGGCCTGCCGCTGCTGCAGCTTGAGGTCCAGCTGTTCCTGGAGGTGCACCACATCCATCCTGGTGCTGGGGGTGCTGGACACCTGCTGGATCCATAGCTGTGTGTCTTCCACCCACTCCCTGCAGCACAGACACAGCCAGGCTGAGCGAAACCCACTACCAGAGAGGGTCCTCAGGACATGAGTAGAGATGGCCCTTTGAGCTCTCTGCCTGAGCAGGAATGAGGGGCAGCTCTGTCACCAACCCACCAGAGTCCTCCCTCCCTCCCTCTTCATTGGGGAGTGTGCAACTCCAAAGCCATAACCACTAAGCTGCTCCTTAGGGCCCCTACCTTGGGATTGGGCAATCTCCACTCTCCTACCACCCTCTGTGAAATTATCACCCATGTTCCAGATCTTACCCTCCTAATGTGTTAAGGACAAATTTATGGTTGTTGCTTGATCTGAACAGAACGCCCAGTGGGAATTGCCCACTGACTTGTGGGGTGGAGACACAGGGCACTATATACCTGTGCCAATCAGAAAGAGGCAATATGTATACAGGGAGGAGGGGGAGTTCCTGAAGGCGTGTAGCCCCTCATAGTAAACCCTGTGTCAGAGGCAGGGCCAGGTCTGGAATCATGAGGCGGGAGCCTAAGGGCAGAACCTCCATCAGGGAGAGGACGTCCATGCATTGGTGGGAGGGAATCCACAGAGGAATCATCCCCTCCCCTTTTTTTGACTTCCGTCTCAAAGGAGATTGCAGCCTCTCCTTTTTTTTTTTTCTTTATTGATTTTTAGAGAGAGATGAAGGGAGAGGGAGAAAGAGACAGAAACATCAATGAAAGAGAACATCGATTGGCCGCCTCCTGCATGCCTCCCACTGGGGATTTGGCCCACAACCTGGGAATGTGCCCTGACTGGGAATCGAACTGGCGACCTTTTGGTGCATGGGTCGACACTCAACCACTGAGCCACACCAGCCAGGTGCAGCCTCTCTTTTCATTGTAGCCTTAAAAATTGTGCTGTCGACTTATTTCATAAAATAGTTGAAAAGGCATGTCAGACAGTGATACATGTAGCTGCAGAAGAAAGCAGTGGGGTAAGAGGATCATGAAGGGACAAGGTGCTCTTTTATAAGGATTCTCAAGGAAGGCCTCCTTGAGGAAATGGCACCTGAGCAAGACCTGAGTGAAGCAAGGAAGGGAACCTGGGGAAGAGTATCCTTGGCGGTAAGAATAACAGTTGTCAAGGCCCTGAGGTGGAAGAGTGAAGTGCTTCAGAAGTAGCCAGCAGAGGCTCCTGTGGCATTAGCATAGTGAACATGAAAAAGCGTAACAGGTGATAAGATCACAGGTATATTGGGGCCAGATCATGCCAGATCTTCCAGATCACTGTAAGGACTTTGGATTTTCGTCTGAGTAGAATGGGAAGCCATTAGGGTTCTGGCAGAAGCCTGGCATGATCTGGTTTATGATTTGGGGGCTGTGTGGAAGATAGATTGTAGAGGCAGAGTGGAAGCCAAGTTTTCGGATGGGAGGCCACTGCAGTGGTACAGGTGACAAACAGTGACTACAAACAAGATGGTGGAAGCAGAGGTGGTGAAAGTGGTCAGGTTTGGGATATAATTTGAAGGCAGAGCCAAAAGAAATTGATAAAGAGTAGAATTTGTGATGTGAAAGACCAAAGGGGAGGAGAGGTGGCCTGAGCCCCTAGTAGAAAGAGAAGACTAGGGATGAGAAGGTTGGGGGAAGGAAGAAATTGTGAGTTCAGACATGTTGAGTTTGAGGTGTCTATTAACATCTTCATGAAGGTAATGAGGAAGTAGTAGAATATATGGGCCTGGCGTTTAGAGGGGAGGACAGGGCTGGAAATATACATTTGGGAGCCATCAGCATACAGATGGTATTAAAAGCCATGAGCACTCTGGAAATGGGGTAGATGGAGAACAAGGTAGACCCACTTTCCCAGAATCCAGCCATCGGTAAGCTCTAGGAGTTCTGAGACACTGGGAGGAAATCTCAGCCAGGAACAGAGACAGCATACCTCTTTCCACATTCCCAGGTTCTGGGATGCAAGAGCCTGGGCCTTCTAGCCGCTACTCTTGCTTTTTTTTGTTGTTGTTGTTTTTACCTTGGGGGCAGGATGGCATTCAAGACTTCTTCTGCCTGCTTTGTAGGATCTGGGACACAGGAAGTTGAGGAGAGCTTGGTCTTGGGTGGCTGTGGGACTAGACCTGAGGGTCCAGGTTGCTGGGGACTGACTTTCAATGGTCGAGCCTGGGAAAAAGGGACAAATTAGGGCAGGAGGTGATTCAGACACTAAGCTCCACACATTCTGGCCCTTGCTCCAGATCTCCCACACACCCTTCCCCCATTTCCAGCTCACTTTCCCCATCTGTCTTCTCATCAGAAGTTATGTCTCAGAGCTAAAGGGAGCCATGAAGAGTCTCTGGTCCCACCCCAATCCAATGCTTGTATCTCTTTGAACCTATGTTTCTTTTTAATTTTTTTTCTTTATTGATATTAGAGAGGGAGGAAGGGCAAATGAGAGGGAGAGAGAAACATCGATGAGAGAACATCAATTGGCGGCCTCCTGCTTGACCCCCACTGGGGATCAAGCCCACAACCTGGGAATGTCTTGACCGGGAATCGAACCGGCGGTCTCCTGGTGCATGGGTCGACGCTCAACCACTGGGCCACACCAGCCGGGCTTGAACCTATCTTTCTAGCCCGGGTGCTCAGGCCTCTGCTTTCACTACCAGATCTATTATTGGACCTCCCTACCATGAAAAACAGCCCCATTCATCTCCGTGACTTCTTTCCCCATCCTAAATCTACCCCCTTGAGTCGCCCAACATCCAGGCTTCTGGTGCGGCTCTCCCACCCTCCTTTCCGCATCCCAATTCCCTTTACTTCCAGTTGCTTCAGCCTCCATCCCTCGGGACTCCGCATCCTCAGGGCGGGCATCTGTCTTTCCCCGACCGAGCTTCCGGGCTCCCCCGCCCCCTGAGACCGGTCCTTACCTTAGGGCTCCGTTTCTCCGTGTTCCGGCTCACCAGCACCGGAGTGTCATACTTGAGCAGAGAGTCCGCGGGGGGTATCATGGCGACTGCGCGTAGCCCAGCGGAGGGCCCTCCAGGCCCGGCCTTGTTTACCGTCACTATGGAAACCTCTTCCTCTAGCCTTCAGGCATGGGCGGGGCTTCGAAGTTGGGCGGGGCCCGCAGCGCTGGGGTTTCTGTCTGCGCCGCCTTCCGGAGACGTTCTCCTGCGCTCAGCTGGGCGGGCTTCCAGCTGCCGGCTCGCTCGCGTACTCCTGGAAGCAGGGAAGGCAGAGGCTCGAGTTCCTGCGCCGCGCCTAGCTCGCGATTTGAATGAGGTGGCAGATCACCTTCTCTGACCCCCTATTTTTCATCTGCAGAGTGGGAGTCATAGAGGAAGGCCTCTGGAGTCCCCAGGATTTAAAAAGCATTTGTTTTTAATTAAGTGGGGAAATGACAACATAACGGTTCAAGAATAGAGGGCCAATGCTACTAATTTGCCCAACCACCTATGATTGCATTTCCTTCCTTCTTTCCTTCGTATTTCCAAACGTAAATGTAAACACGATTTGCGCACAATTTTGTAACCTGCTTCTTTCGTTTCACGTCTGGGTCTTGTTTTGTCATAATCAAGTTTGTAGATAGCATTGCAAATGGTGATATGACATCCACCAGGTGGCTAAACAATTCCCTAATGCTGGGTATTTAGGTTGTCTCCTTGTTTAGGGATTACTAATGACGCGGCAACAGCCTTGGGCGTACCTTTTCCCCAGAAGTTTGTTTTTGAAACTTAAAACCCCCGCCACCCGGGCCGCGTCACGACGGCCCCGCCCACAAGAGACTCGTGGTCACGTGTCTACCCTCTGCCCCGCGAGGGTTTCTGGGAGAGCGTGCACCCCAGAAGCGGAAGTCCGAGGGCCCCGCACGTCATTTCCTTTCTACGAGCGGGGTGCAACGGACGAGTTTTCCCTTCGCTCCGCGGAGATCTCAGCATGAAGGAGGTGAAGAGCGAGCGGGAGCGGGGGAGCCGGCGAAGGCACCGGGACGAGGACGTCGTGGCGGCGGCGGCGGCGGTGGTGGTGAAGCAGGAGCGCCTCAGCCCGGAGGCCGCGCCTCCCGTTCACCGCCGCCAGGACTCCTCCGGTGGCAGCGCGTCCCCGCCCGCCGGCGAGCCCGGCCGCCCTGGTCACCGCGGGAACCGAGCCCAGAGACGGAGCCGGTGAGTGGGAAGCAGCCGGGGTGGACAGGGCTAGCGTTAGAAGCACACCCAGGATGCCGAGCGCAGCGGCTTGGACTTCAGCCTACGGCGGTGGAAGTGAGCCGGTGATGCTCGTGTGATTGTTTACCTGTCACTGGCGTTGTAGCTGAGCGTTAAGGGCCTAATGGACAGGATCCCGCCCCTTCTCTGTGTGCCCAGCACTAAGCTGAGTAAGGCTCAGGGGATAGCAATGATTATTTAAGTTGAAATGAAATGTTTTCCCCATCTGCCTGCAAGTGGAGTGCGGGTGGTGTCTTTCCAGTTATCTGCCCCAAAAGGTTTCCACATCGAGGGCCTAGGGGATCTACCTGATAGAACTTCTGGGAAAAAATTGTCTCTTGCTAGACTCGTTTATTTGTTCATTCAACATAGTTTTACTGAATATCTATTATGTGCTAAAGACTGCTCTAGGTACTGAGGCTGAAAGGGTGAACAAAATAGATGGTTAGTGTTCCTAGGTAGCTCTCAGTTGATTAGAACTTGTCCCGATCCACCACGGTTTCTGGTTTGATCCTTGGTCAGGGCATATACAAGAGTCAACCAGTGAGTGTATAAATGAGTGGAACAACAAATCGCTGTCTCTCTCTTTCCCCTTCCCTCTCCCTCCTCTCCTCCTCTTTCCTCTTTAAAAAAAAAAAAAAGGTAGATGGTTATTACTCTCTGGAATTGATGTCCTCCAACCCTAAGATAAAATAACTAGCAAATAAAGAAAATAGTTTCAGTTAGTAACAAATGTTAGGCTATAGGTTAAAACAGTAATGTGATAGAGATTGGAGGGAAGTAGGAGAAGACCTCTCTGAAAAGGTGACATTTGAGCTGAGACCTGAATGGTAAGACTAATCCAGCCTTGTAAAGGGTCCAGGTAGGGGAAACAAATGTGAAGAGCTTGTGTTGGAATTGTGATTGTTTGTTTATATATATATGTATGTATATAATTTACCGGTTTTAGAGAAACATTGATTTGTTCCATATATTTATGCATTCATTAGTTATTCTTTTTTTTTTTTTTTATCCTCACCCGAGGACATTTTTCCATTTTTTGTTCAGATAGAGCGGGAGGGAGAGAGAGAGAGAGAGAAACATTGACGTGAAAGGGACACATCGAGTGGCTGCCACCCGCACGACCCAACCAGGGCCGGGGACAAACTGCAACCAAGGTACGTGCCCTTAGCGGGAACCGAACCCGTCTCTCTGGACCGCAGGCCGATGCTCTAACCGCTGAGCAAAACCGGCCAGGGCTCATTAGTTATTCTTGTTGTGTGTCCTGACCAAGGATGGAACCCAAAATCTTGGGGTATCGTGATGTGCTAACCAACTAAGCTACTGTTTTAAAAAGAAAAGAAAAAAAGTGTAGTGATCAAGGAGAGTAGTTGGAATGAGATAGGAAAGAGAGGAAGGAGACAGAGCTAGAGGACTTGCTGTTGAATTGAATGTGATAGTGGAGGAGGGGTGTGGAGAGCTGTTGATGAGGAAAAAAAGAATCAAGGATGACTTCTAGATTTTTGGTTTGAGGAGCAGGGTGTATGGTGGTGTCACTTACTGAGATGGCAAAGACTGAGAGGGGAAAGGTTTTGAGGGGTTGGGAATCAAGAGTTATCTTAAGTGAGAGAAGGTTTGGTAGGCAGTTATGTCTGTGGGTTGGCAACTCAGGGGAGACGTTAGTCTAGGAAGGTGAAGCTCCTGACAACTAAAGTGTGAAAAGCAGAGACCTTCACAAATGTGGTGTTTGTGTGGTAGGTAAGCCTGATATTTGAAAGTAATTTATATGTGGGGAGGGAAATGGAGATAAAATCCTGTGTACCATTCTCTTAACAGGTCTCCAGCCAAAAAGAAAAAGTCTTCAGGGAGAAAAAGCAAGTCTCCTCGGAGTAATAGAAGCCGAAGTCCTCACCACTCAACAGTCAAAGTGAAGCAGGTAAGTGGATTCAGGTGTTTTGATGCTCAGTCCAAATCTAGAGCCTTACCATCATAGCTCAGGTGTTGTGTACGTATTCACTTGTACCTGCAGAGGGCTTTTCTCCAAACTTGGTGGGCTTTTTCCCTGCTTGTTTTGTTAAATGAAACTTTTTATTTTGAGATAATTGTTGATTGACATGCAGTTGTAAAAATAATACAGGCATGTACTCTTTGGTGAAGACATTTTTGCATTTATCTTCAGACAGAGCAGGAGGGAGAGAGAGAGGAAAAGAGAACATCGATGTGAGAGAGACTTATCGACTGGCTGTCACCCACACAACGCCAACTGGGGCCAGGGACAAATTGTAACCGAGGTACGTGCCTTTAGCGGAAACTGAACCCGAGTCTCTCTAGTCCACAGACCGACGCTCTGACCATTGAGCCAAACTGGCCAGGGCCAGCCATATACTCTACCATGTTTCTCTTGGTGGTGACATCTATACAGTCAAGATATAAAACATTTTCATCACAAGGATCCCTCATGTTGTCCTTGTATAGTCACACTCACTCCCTTCCCTTCCCACTTTTACCCTCATTTCTGGCAACTGCTCATCTGTTCTCCATTTCTATAATTTTGTCACTTCGGATCTTACATGTCTTTTTTTATTTTTATTGATATTAGAGAGGAAGAGGGATGGAGAGAAAGAAACATTGATTGGTTGCCTCCTGTACATGCCCCAACCTGGGACTGAATCCACAACCTGGGTATGTGCCCTGACTGGGAATTGAACCAGGACATTCCGGGTGCATGGTATGATGCTCCAACCAAGTGAGCCCCACTGGCCAGGGCAGAGCTTACATATGTCTTAAAGTGTATTCCTAGGTATTGAATAATTTTTGTTACTGTTGAAATGAGGTATTTTAACATTACTATTACATTCTTATTTTTGGCATAAGAGAAAACTAGCTTTTTCTTTACACGTTTATTCTGTACATGACTAGTTAACTCTCTTTGTTAATTCTTTTTTCTGTATGTGTCCCCCTTTAAGTTTGCCTGCAAGTACTCATGTTTCTAGGGCTCTGAACATGGGCTTGCACTCTAGAGCTATAATTGGGCAACAGCATGGGATATACAGTCAGTGTGGCCTTGCACGGAAACAGCCACCACTGATAACCTTATTTCTGTGGGACGTTTTGCCCTTGGATGCCAGACTCCAAATCACACATGACTTTTTGAATGCAGCTTGTTCATAGATTGTGGACTGCCTTGAATTTACTGAATCTGTTCAAATTTCAGGAACGGGAGGATCATCCCCCCCGGAGAGATCGGGAAGATCGGCAGCACCGGGAAGCATCAGGACAGGAACACCGGCGAGCTAGGAACAGTGACCGAGACAGGCACAAGGGCCACTCCCATCAGAGGAGAACCTCTAACGAGAGACCTGGGAGTGGGCAGGCTCAGGGACGTGATCGAGACCTTCAGAACCTGCAGGCTCAGGAAGCAGAGCGGGAGTTTTATAATGCCCGAAGACGGGAGCATCGCCAAAAGAATGAAGTTAGTACCAGCGGTAATGAGTCTCAGGAGCTGGCTCCTCCACCTGGTGGCAACAACAAAAACAAAGAGGTGCCCGTTAAGGAAAAGCCAAGCTTTGAACTTTCTGGGGCACTTCTTGAGGACACCAACACCTTCCGAGGTGTAGTCATTAAATATAGTGAGCCCCCTGAAGCACGTATCCCTAAGAAACGGTGGCGTCTCTACCCCTTTAAAAATGACGAGGTGCTTCCAATCATGTACATCCATCGACAAAGTGCTTACCTCCTGGGACGACACCGCCGAATTGCAGACATTCCAATCGATCATCCCTCTTGTTCAAAGCAGCACGCCGTCTTTCAGTATCGGTAAGTACATTTGGAGAAAAACTCAAGTGTGAGCAGGAGCTAGTGT